AATGGGTGCCTTCTGTTCTTGCTCATGGAGTTCTGATCAATTTGGTCCCTCTCTAGAATGTCTTTTAGTAGTCTATGTAAGATTGGCTTTGTCATCATGAAATTATTTAGTTGTTCTTTGTCATGGAAATATTTCACTTCTGCATCAAACTTGAAAGAGAGCTTTGCAGGGTATAGTAATCTGTGCTGGAATTTGTTTTCATAGAGGACTTGAAGTACTCTGCTCCATGCTCTTCTTGCCTTAATGGTTTGTGAAGAGAAGTTGGCCATTATTCTGATGGGTTTTCCTTTATTTTTTTTTTAAATTTTATTTGTGTGTGTGTGTGTGTGTGTGTGTGTGTGTGTGGCCAGCTCAGCCCACCAGGGGGCAGGGCTGGCTGGCTGTGGTGCTGGGGGATTGAACCGCAGTCCCTGTGTTTTGCTATGCTTGTTCTAAATAGGTGCTTTAGACCACTGAGGCCATCTCACCAGCCCTGGGTTTTCCTTTAAATGTGATCTGTTCCTTTTCTCTAGTGGCTTTCACTATATTGTTCTTGTGCTGGATTTCTGGGATTTTTTGCGGAACCGAGGATTGAACTCAGGTCCTTGCGCTTGCCAGGGAAGCGCTTATTCTACTGAGCCATCTCCCCGGCCCCCAGGTATCTTGACTATTATATGTCTCATTGTATTTTTAATTGGTTTGAAGTTATTTGGAATTCTGTATACTTCATTTACCTGAATGTCAGATTGTTTCCTCATGTTTGGGAAGTTTTCTGCTATTACTTCTGCCCATTTATTTTTATATCATTTGTATTGACTCCTTCTTTGTCGTTGGTGCCTATTAGTCTCATGTTATGCATCTTTGCACCGTCTTGCAGGTGATGGATTATTTTTTTCCTGCATCTTTGTTGTTTTTAAGAGATCTTTTCTTACCTTTTCACTAGCCTCAACAGAGTCTTCAAGATCTGAAACTATATCTTAACTTTCACTCAAACCATTTTGCAAGCTTGTGATTGAAACTTTAAGTTCCTGTATATCTGTTTGACTCTGCTTCATGCAATCTCTTTCCTGTATTGCTCAGTCAAGGAATCTGTTGCTTTTCTAATCTCCTCTATTTTTTTTAATCAGTGTCTTTTTTTTTTTTCTACATTGTCTGGAGTTTGAAAACTGAAATGTAGGTTAAAGGACAAGTCCTAGAAGTTAAAAGATAACTGATGAGATTTTCCAGGAGCATGTATCTCTATTTTAGAGGCATATAAAACTCTGAGCCTTAGAGAGAATCCCAATATTATAAAACCAGTAAAACTCATTTATTTGCCCCCTAAAGTTTATTTACATTCCAAGGGATAAGAATCTGATTACTTTCTCTTTCTCTTCCCAGGGAAAATTTGCATATCTTGATTAATTTATTATGTTTTATTAATTTAATGAGAAATAGCAATGAGACAGTTTTAAAACAGGTTAGTAGGACAGTTACAATAATTAATACATTGCATGTTGTTGTCTTCGTAGTAGCTATTCACAGTACAAGATGCAGACATGATCTCTTGTCATTATCAGTGTCTTCCTGGATAGCAATTATTAATTCTTTTACTGCAGAGTCTATTTCTGATCTGATTTCCTCTATATGTTTCTGTATTTGATTCTTTACTTCAGACACTCTTAATTCAGAGATTTCTTTTTTCATTTCAGAGATCAATTCTCATCTGAATTCCTCTATACCTTTCTGCTGCTGTTTCTTTACTTCAGACAGTATTAATTCATAAATTTCTGTTTTTATTGCAGAGATTAATTCTGATATGAGTTCCTGTATACCTTCCTGATGTTGTTTCTTTACTTCAGATGCTATTAATTCAGACATTTCAGCTGTGCTAGTGTCCTCTGCACTTGTTCTGGCTGGGCCCAGGACGTGAGAATGCATTTTGCTCCTTCTCCTTGTCATTTTTTTTTTTTTCAGGCACTGGGGATTTAACTCAGGCCATTGCACTTGCCAGGGAAGTGCTTATTCTACTGAGCCATCTCCCTGGCCCTTCTTTGTCATTTTGTATAGCACTGTCCACTGACCTTTGGTGTAGAGCTTTGGTAGAGTTATAACCTTTGCACCTACTAAAATTCAGGTGCAGATATACTAAGTTCGATTTTATCCAGCTGTGCCTGGCTTGGGTCTGGCTATTGTGCTCAGCTCCTTCCTGCTGCAGCCCTTGGAAGTGAACTTGTTGTGCCCCTCTGGCAAGATATTCTGCTCCTGGATTAGCTGAATGGTTTTGGCCCCTTGTCTCACTGCACAGACTTCAGCTGCAGAATTTCACCCCAGGCCTGTATGCCAGGCTTGCGCTGGGTCTGAAGGGGCCTGTGGAGGGCAAGAGAGTGGAGAAACTCTCCTACACACTCACCGGGCCTTGGCTTTGTTGGGTCTGGAGGGCTCCCAAGAGTGCAGTGGAAGTTCTCACTCACAGGGTGATCTTGGGCTGGCTCTGGAGGGGGATCCTGAGAGCACGGTGAAAGGTCTCACTCCCGCGGAGGTCCTGGGCTTGGTCTGGAGAGGTCTGGTGGGTGGGTGCAGGAGAGCGTAAAAGCTCTCCTAAACACTCCCCGGGCCTGGGCTTAGGCATCTATCTATCTATCTATCTATCTATCTATCTATCATCTATCTATCTATCTATCTATCTATCTATCTATCTATCTATCTGTCTGTCTATCTGACTGATTAAAAGCTATTCTTATGGAGAGAAACATCTATTAGGATCTTACTCTGTTCAGCAAGACAATACATATAAAAAGTCAAATTAGAGAACAGCGAATCCAGCCAAGTGTGAAAAAACTCTAGGCGTGCCCTTCCCTAGCAACTCCACGGTGTCTTTCTCTTCCTCTTATTGGGAGCAGAGGTGACATGCCCAAGATTTGTTGATTCGTTCAGATCTTGGCTGCTTTCCTGTGTGTCTGTAATGCTTTTGCTTTGTCTTTGCAATTTGTCTCTACTCACAACACCATGAAAGCAATTTTGAACGTTTAGAATCGTAAGAAGTTAGACTAGTTGTGCCACCGTTTTGTATAGATCAAATATGCATCAGCAAAGTGAATCTGGGCAGAGCTCAGTTTATTTCCTACATCCAATAGAGACAGGAGTCTTGGTGAAAAGAGAGCATCTCAGGCGTCCTGGGTCTGGCTGTGTTCTTTGCTGAGAGTGCAGAGACAGAAAGGAGACAGGAATGAGAGGAAATCATGTTCACTCACTATGCACACACTTAGTCTTACTCTGTGGCAAAGCTCCACTCATTTTCAGCATTTCCCCAACTTTAGTCAAATCTCATCCAAATGATTTTGGAAAAGACCCACACTCTGATAATTTAAAAATAAACTAGGAACTTCATAAACATTGGGCTCTAGGTGGAAAGAGAATAAGTCCAATCCTATGACTATACTGTGTAAAATCTTATGAATTATATGAAAATGTCTTGTTCCAAGAATAAGTTTGGGTCCTGATGTACAATTGAGGATTTGTCACATTTAGCAAAGCCAAACAGGACTTCATGATGAAGAGAAAGAAAATGATTCTGTAATCAGGATTAATAGAATATTAAAACTTTGAGTGGATACTGACTGCTTTTATTTCAAACAGGTGATTATATTTTTACTCTAAAATGCTTCACTTCATTGCAAGGAAATAATTTGTCTACTTTAGTAACATAGAGATTATTTCTAAATGACTATGATGTTTGCTCATATGAACAAAACTTGAAAATCTCTTGTCTGTGTTTTAACTTTTACATTACCTAACAGAGACTACTTCCTTCTTCAGTCTTTCTCTCTTCTCTTCTCCTCTCTCTCTCTGTCTCTCTCTCTCTCTGTCTCTCTCACCCTGGTTCTTTGTCTTTCTGTCTCTCTCACTCTCTGTCTCTCTGTTTCTCCTTCTATTTTATTTTGTCTCTCTCTGATTAACAATCGAAGACTTAATTTTTTATGTATCTTTTAAACATAATGTGTGTCTTTATCCTCTATTCTCCCTCCTTCTCCCTATATCTATCCCTCTACTTGGGTACATCTTACAACTCGTTTGTTATTTCCCTTTTCTCTCCCTTTTGAGTACTGTAACTTATTTGTTTGTATTTTTGTCTTTCTATGACAATGAAACATTGTTTCTTAACAATTCTGTTACATGCCTAAGGAGAGTCACATGGAGAGAAAACATTCTCTCAGGCTTTCACATCGGCCAAGCAGTGGCCATGACTCATCCACATGGCTGACACTGACAAAGGTTCTACAATCTGAGGTATAGGATCTCAGGATAAATCCTGAGGGTATTTCACTGACCTTATCAGACCCAAAAGCTACAACTCTTGTTGTATAGGGCCTGCTTTACCTTGGTCTTAACCATCCAGAAGAAAAGTATAAAAACGAAATATAAGAAATAAAGCCATGCTGTTAGGTTGAGCTGTAGGGGACTCAGATCAACAATTTCTGACATTGCCAGTTAAGCGGAAGACCCAATACTATTATGGGCTACTGGACTCTTTTGGAATATCTTGCTGAGTTTACACACCTATAATATTCAAATAACGAAACTTAACAAAAAAAGAGGATACAGATGAATGTCCATTTTGTATCTGTGTATTCAAAGTGGTTAGGATAGATATATAGTTACATTCTCTTAATGAATAGAATGATTTGTTCTAATGGTGTTTGTAAATAGGATATCAAGTCCGTATCTTGTACAGCAATTAACCACTAAGAAGAATGTATGCAGTGTGTTAATTATTGAAACTGTCCTACCGATTTGATTTGAAACTGTCTCATTGCTGTTTGTTTATCAATAAAATTAGGGCAAAAAAACAATTCTGTTACAGATTGTAAAATTCATAAAGAAATGGCATCTGTGTATATTGAATCATTTATTTATTTACCTATTTATTTAATTTTTGATTATTGAGATTGGCAATGAAAGGTGGTAATAAAGTTGGAAATATTTAACCTGATTGTTGTTCTTAGAGATAGCAAATGTTCCTTTTGATGCTTTTCATTATTTCATTTTATTCTAGGCTTAACTGGTTCCTGATAATCTGAAAAGATAACAGGTGTTGGAACAGGGAGTAGAATCCACCATGGCCGACAGCATTTCCATCTTCTTCGGCAGCCTCCAATTTCATCTTCCGTTAGTTTGCAGGTGGTTCTTCGGCAGATGCCTGAGAGATTCATACAGTGGCCTTCAGCAGCAGCCATACCGCTTCTTACTGCAAAGAAGAAAGCTGGTAAGACCTTCAGACACTGAATGGAGAGGAAATCCATCACAACTCTCACATGAGGACAGATATTCTGTTAGGAATTTCTTTGTGAGGAAAAATGGTTCAAATATTTATTATCAATTCATCATCACAATCCCTAGGTTTGTTACACAATAGCCAACAGTTTGAACTAAAAACCACTCTGTTTGTCTTCCAATAAATTCTTGGGATGCTTAATTAAAGATTAACAAAACC